ATACCAAATTACAGTTCTATATCTCTGTCTGATACCAAATTACAGTTCTATATCTGTGTCTGATACCAAATTACAGTTCTATATCTGTATCTCATACCTAATTACAGTTCTATATCTGTATCTTGTACCAAATTACAGTTCTATATCTGTATCTCATACCAAATTACAGTTCTATATCTGTATCTCATACCAAATTACAGTTCTATATTTGTATCTTGTACCAAATAACAGTTCTATATTTGTATCTCATACCAAAGTACAGTTCTATATCTGTGTCTGATACCAAATTACAGTTCTATATCTCTGTCTGATACCAAATTACAGTTCTATATCTGTATCTTGTACCAAATAACAGTTCTATATTTGTATCTCATACCAAAGTACAGTTCTATATCTGTGTCTGATACCAAATTACAGTTCTATATCTGTATCTCATACCAAATTACAGTTCTATATCTGTGTCTCATACCAAATAACAGTTCTATATCTGTATCTTGTACCAAATTACAGTTCTATATCTGTGTCTCATACCAAATTACAGTTCTATATCTGTATCTCATACCAAATTACAGTTCTATATTTGTATCTCATACCAAATTACAGTTCTATATCTCTGTCTGATACCAAATTACAGTTCTATATCTGTATCTTGTACCAAATTACAGTTCTATATCTCTGTCTGATACCAAAGTAGAGTTCTATATCTGTATCTCGTACCAAAGTACAGTTCTATATCTGTGTCTGATACCAAATTACAGTTCTATATCTGTATCTCGTACCAAAGTACAGTTCTATATCTGTGTCTGATACCAAATTACAGTTCTATATCTGTATCTCGTACCAAAGTACAGTTCTATATCTGTGTCTCATACCAAATTACAGTTCTATATCTGTATCTCATACCTAATTACAGTTCTATATCTGTATCTCGTACCAAATAACAGTTCTATATCTGTATCTCGTACCAAATTACAGTTCTATATCTGTATCTCGTACCAAATTACAGTTCTATATCTGTATCTCGTACCAAATTACAGTTCTATATCTGTATCTCGTTCTATACCAAAGTACAGTTCTTTATCTGTGTCTCATACCAAATTACAGTTCTATATCTGGATCTCATACCAAATTACAGTTCTATATCTGTATCTCGTACCAAAGTACAGTTCTATATCTGTATCTCATACCAAATTACAGTTCTATATCTGTATCTCGTACCAAATTACAGTTCTATATCTGTATCTCATACCAAATTACAGTTATATATCTGTATCTCATACCAAATTACAGTTCTATATCTGTGTCTGATACCAAAGTAGAGTTCTATATCTGTATCTCATACCAAAGTACAGTTCTATATCTGTGTCTGATACCAAATTACAGTTCTATATCTGTGTCTGATACCAAAGTACAGTTCTATATCTGTGTCTGATACCAAATAACAGTTCTATATCTGTGTCTGATACCAAATTACAGTTCTATATCTGTATCTCATACCAAATTACAGTTCTATATCTGTTTCTGTTACCAAATTAGAGTTCTATATCTGTATCTCATACCAAAGTACAGTTCTATATCTGTGTCTGATACCAAATTACAGTTCTATATCTGTGTCTGATACCAAATTACAGTTCTATATCTGTGTCTGATACCAAAGTACAGTTCTATATCTGTGTCTGATACCAAATAACAGTTCTATATCTGTGTCTGATACCAAATAACAGTTCTATATCTGTGTCTGATACCAAATAACAGTTCTATATCTGTGTCTGATACCAAATTACAGTTCTATATCTGTATCTCATACCAAATTACAGTTCTATATCTGTGTCTGATACCAAAGTAGAGTTCTATATCTGTATCTCATACCAAAGTACAGTTCTATATCTGTGTCTGATACCAAATTACAGTTCTATATCTGTGTCTGATACCAAATTACAGTTCTATATCTGTATCTCATACCAAATTACAGTTCTATATCTGTATCTCATACCAAATTACAGTTCTATATCTGTGTCTGATACCAAAGTAGAGTTCTATATCTGTATCTCATACCAAAGTACAGTTCTATATCTGTGTCTGATACCAAATTACAGTTCTATATCTGTGTCTGATACCAAATTACAGTTCTATATCTGTATCTCATACCAAATTACAGTTCTATATCTGTATCTCATACCAAATTACAGTTCTATATCTGTGTCTCATACCAAATTACAGTTCTATATCTGTATCTCATACCAAATTACAGTTCTATATCTGTGTCTGATACCAAAGTACAGTTCTATATCTGTATCTCATACCAAAGTAGAGTTCTATATCTGTATCTCATACCAAAGTACAGTTCTATATCTGTATCTCGTACCAAATAACAGTTCTATATCTGTATCTGGTACCAAATAACAGTTCTATATCTGTGTCTGATACCAAATTACAGTTCTATATCTGTATCTGATACCAAATTACAGTTCTATATCTGTATCTCATACCAAATTACAGTTCTATATCTGTATCTTGTACCAAATTACAGTTCTATATCTGTATCTCATACCTAATTACAGTTCTATATCTGTATCTCATACCAAATTACAGTTCTATATCTGTGTCTGATACCAAATTACAGTTCTATATCTGTATCTCATACCAAATTACAGTTCTATATCTGTATCTCATACCAAATTACAGTTCTATATCTGTATCTCGTACCAAATTACAGTTCTATATCTGTATCTCATACCTAATTACAGGTCTATATCTGTGTCTGATACCAAATTACAGTTCTATATCTGTATCTCATACCAAATTACAGTTCTATATCTGTTTCTCGTACAAAATTACAGTTCTATATCTGTGTCCGTAAAGAGTAAATGAGCAGATGAGGGAGGAATATAAATACTTTAGAATATATATTCTACCCTGGTGTGTGCACTAATCATCGTGATGCCATAGTAAAAATATGTTGACGAGGGTAAGTAAAGTGGTTCTTACTTCGACTGATAGATACGATAAATATCCTTAATTTACGATGTAGATACAAATCCGGAAAGGAAACCGAAAATTGATTGTTAAAATAAATTCTAAATTGCACGCAAATAGTAAAATAAAGGTTGGATCTTAAATACTATTATTCAGAAAACGGCAGTTCCATATAATGGCCCTTCAGAGGTTTTGTTATTGATAACGGTAAGAAGCTGATTTAAGATATTCATATAAAAAACTAATTTTTACATTTATTTATCTTATTTAACTCATTTCTACTTTGAATCATGGACATATCGAATATCACCTTAGAGACACGCCGCCCTGAAATTAAATTATCTCCCCTTGTGAAATACAAAAGTTAAGTAAGTGCAATTATGGTCGGCACGAGCCACTTTATCGACTTTCTACCACAAGGTATGTCTGCTTAGTGAGGCGTGAAATACATTTGTCTGGTACGCTGGATAAGAATGGACCAAAATTATCAAATTAAAAACAAGAGTTCTTATCACTGACTTTAATTTTATTGTCCGCGTCTGGCTTATTACTCACAGCGCCCTCTATCAATACGGCGCCGTTGTCATGTCTGAAGACTGCTGATTTACAAATTTCATAAAATTATTTCTTTTTCTTAATATTGTTGAAAAGTTTACCAAGAATCTTAAGTTTTCCTGAATTATTTCGGATCAAATAAAACAAGCGATATATTATAATGTATAATCCGTACTTCGTGTTCCGGAAGTGGGTTTCGAAGATTATTATTGTTTTATGCTGGGTCACTCTTCAACATGCAACGTGCGCGAATCGGCGACGGTGCAAATAAAAACAATCACTTTAAAATGAAAAGATATGACAAAGGTATGATAAGAATTAAAAACGGTAGATATGGTTAAAAATTCACAAATTACTGTTTCTTATCGATAATGGCTATTTGAAATAAAATTAACATGTTGTAACGAGGAAATATACTGTACATGTACCTAGATTTGCATTCAATGTACAAAGAGAGAAAAAATGAAAGTTTTTAAACGAAATTAAATATGAAATAGTACATGTAATACATTTAATTTTTGTTTTGAATTATGATTCTGTTAGCATGTCGGTATTTTCTTTGTCGCTTTTTTTTACTTCTGCGATTCAAATTCAAAATACTTCGTCTTGAGAAGAATCTTATTTATTCAACAGGATTCACGTCCACCATTGCGGTCTTTTGGTCTTTCATCGGACGTAATTGGGGAGAAAATAAACAAGGTGTATCGTCACGAGAAAGTGACCTTTTAACCAATTCAATTAAGGTACCACTCACCTGTTCAGGTGCAAATTTTAGATGTGTCAGTAAATCCCATATATCGATAGCACATACACTTTCCCCGGGGGTACGGGCAGTGCGGTGACGCCTTGAACTCACTCGGAACGTGGCGGTTAATTTGATTATCAAAGTGGAAGACTGTTAGAGGAGTTCCGAATGATTTGTCGTCAACAATGGTGTTTACTTTGACTTCTGATGACCATGATAAGATGTTATCTAACTGTACATGGCTAATACTACTTTTATTCACATGGACTGACAAATGTTCGTCATTTCAGAAGATGACGTGAAGAATGAAGGGACATTCTGTGTAAATGTGTTACAGGTAATGCTCTCAAGTTCAAATCTTTCTTGTAAAATTTATAGTTGCTTTGTTTATGATGATATTTTCGCTATTCTTATGTTTTTATATAGCACTTATTAAATGTCCAGAATTCGCGTGAGTTCGTTAACGACACGTCAAGAATTTTAAGAGTCTCGGCTGCTATTGTTGTACAAACGATATTGTATCCAAAAATACTTGTAGTTTAAATGCTTACAATAACAGGGATGCCGACCTATAAAAACCATTTTTGGTATCATTTTGTAATTATAGATCGTCATTTCCGGTTCCTGTCATGCCACATAAAGTCATGAAAAATTCCTTTTGATCAGTTTTATTATTACTATTATATTATTGTATTTTTTTCATTATTTTCCTGTAGATCTAGCCATGTACCCTCTAGGCCGAGCTGCACGCTTCTTCCTCGTGATCATATTCTCATTCTTTATTTTACTCCTCCATAGTATTGACAAGCGACAAACTTACGCTCGACTTCAACTTATTGACGTCACTTCCGGTTGGTATCACCACGCTGAATCAAGCCAAGATAAATATCCATTTTTTGGCAAACGTGGAGAGAAGGATTTCGATATTTGTAAACAAACGTATGGTGTTGAATTCCAAAGACATAGTGAATATTCAAGTCACAAGGTTTTTGAAAATCTTCACCTAAATTCGGAAAGTTTTGTCATTGAGGTCGGAGGCTTCAAAGGAGAACTGATGCGGGAACTTTTCCAGCTGTATGATATCGGACTGTACGTTACTGTTGAGCCAGTGTGGCAATATTACAAGGTTTTAATAAGTAAATTAAAACATTTACCACAAGGAAAAATTCAAGCCCACAATATAGGTCTGGGTGCAAAGGACGACAAGATTCAAGTTAAACCAGCAGGCAACCGAACGAGTTCGTTTGGTAAACAGAGATTACAAGAGGAATTTGGTAAAAACGGAAATGAATCAGAACAAATGGCGGACCTCAGTATTAGAAGTGTGGAAAGATTCTTTCAGGATATGGGTATCGGTGGTGAAGATCAGCTCGATCTATTGATTCTTGATTGTGAAGGATGTGAGTATGACGTACTTGACTATTTGCTGAAATCTCCCGACGTGCTTCATTACATCCGGGTTATTATGTTCCAGTCACACAAGTTCAAAGGTCATAGAAAGGAATTAGTCCGTAAATATTGCACTTATCAGCAATTACTACCTTTAACTCACGAGATTCAATTCCAGAACAAGTTTTCATGGGAAGTTTGGACACTCCGAAATAAGATGTAACTAAATCGGTTCAAATATTACCAATTGTTTACTTATCTATTGATGAAAAATGATGACGTAATGATAAATGAATAAGGTGTTTTACATTACAACATATGTAATGTACATTGACACGTGACTGTCGTATCATTCAGTGAATAAACCAGTGTAAACGCTTATGATGTATATCACATTGTGACGTAAGGGGATGACAATGAAATGACGTCACTAAACTAACTCGTCCAATGCATTATGACGTCACAATCAATAATAAGTATTGTCATAGTGCCAAGATGATTCCAAAAGTAACATTGAATAACATAACATAAATATTCGATAATGTGATAAAAGAATCTTCAGTTCTCTTGTGTTTCACATAACATTTATGAAGTCCTACGCCTTGCTGAACAACATTGTATGAAATTTGAAGATACTGTAATTGTCACGATTCTCATGATAATATATTGTAATTTGTAACTACTGCTTTATTTATGAATATTTGTAACTTATAATGTTCTTTTAAAGGTCAGCCATTCCCCCTGACGCGATAGAATTATGGTTTTTGACATTTTCTTATCTTCTCTTCAAATCTTGATATAGCTCCGGCCTGCGAAACACCTAGGCGTTCAACGTCAGAAGGGAGACAACTCGAATGTCAACTTTCATCGTGGTGACAGAGACACGAATGAGATTGCATGTTTGTTATTGATATCATATTAAAGTTGTTAGTCTGTGGTATCAGAAAAGTGGAATAACAAACAAATCAAAACACAGATGTTGGGATAATATAACTGCTTTACAAAACTCAAACAACTTTATCACTGAAGAATTTAAAACATATCTTATTCGTGGACTTTTAAACTATAGGAGGAAACAAAGATAATTTTCTGTTACGAAGATCTATACTAGGGGAGGTGGGAGGGGGTCAGGGGTTCCAATTCCGTATAACATTAAATCAGTTTTTATATAAACTGTGTACACTATGTCTATCTTGGAACAGGCACAACCCTATTATCATACCATTTCATCTTTAAATATGTGATTTATTCATAAGATAGCTTTCAAAAGAATAATGATTTCTTTTTGTAAATGCCCGAACCAATTAGACCAACTAAAAACAATGTAGATTTAGAATACGTAACTGTGAGCTGTAATAAAATCAGATAAGTAAATGTTGAATTGAAACCAATCAAGAGTTCATTCTTGTTCTTCTGAAATCGACACAAACATTCAGTAATTCTTTTTATTTTGTCGATATCTATCAAAAAAAAAAACATTTCAAACTAAAATTTAGTATATTGAAAGGTACATATCTATTGTTCTTATACCTGGGTCAACATTGATAACTTGTACCTTATTTAAATATTGTAAAACCTTGATAAAATGTCCATCGTTTATATACGGTAAAACTTCGGCATAACATGGCTAGGATATATACAGTGAAGACTAGGTAAATGTCGTTTGCTTATAAACAATAAAACATTTATGTTCAAAAATTTTATCTGCAATAAAACCTCTATATCATGTCCCGCAGTAATATGCAATAAAACCTCTATATCATGTCCATCAGTTATATGCAATAAAACCTCTATATCATGTCCATCAGTTATATGCAGTAAAACCTCTATATCATGTCCATCAGTAATATGCAATAAAACCTCTATATCATGTCCATCAGTTATATGCAATAAAACCTCTATATATATCATATGTAAAACCCTATATCATGTTATATGCAATAAAACCTCTATATCATCTATATCATGTCCATCAGTAATATGCAGTAAAACCTCTATATCATGTCCATCAGTTATATGCAGTAAAACCTCTATATCATGTCCATCAGTTATATGCAGTAAAACCTCTATATCATGTCCATCAGTTATATGCAGTAAAACCTCTATATCATGTCCATCAGTTATATGCAATAAAACCTCTATATCATGTCCCGCAGTAATATGCAATAAAACCTCTATATCATGTCCATCAGTTATATGCAGGAAAACCTCTATATCATGTCCATCAGTTATATGCAGTAAAACCTCTATATCATGTCCATCAGTAATATGCAATAAAACCTCTATATCATGTCCCGCAGTAATATGCAGTAAAACCTCTATATCATGTCCCGCAGTAATATGCAATAAAACCTCTATATCATGTCCATCAGTTATATGCAGTAAAACCTCTATATCATGTCCCGCAGTAATATGCAATAAAACCTCTATATCATGTCCATCAGTTATATGCAATAAAACCTCTATATCATGTCCCGCAGTAATATGCAATAAAACCTCTATATCATGTCCATCAGTTATATGCAGTAAAACCTCTATATCATGTCCATCAGTAATATGCAATAAAACCTCTATATCATGTCCCGCAGTAATATGCAATAAAACCTCTATATCATGTCCATCAGTTATATGCAGTAAAACCTCTATATCATGTCCATCAGTTATATGCAATAAAACCTCTATATCATGTCCATCAGTTATATGCAATAAAACCTCTATATCATGTCCATCAGTTATATGCAATAAAACCTCTATATCATGTCCATCAGTTATATGCAATAAAACCTCTATATCATGTCCCGCAGTAATATGCAATAAAACCTCTATATCATGTCCCGCAGTAATATGCAATAAAACCTCTATATCATGTCCATCAGTAATATGCAATAAAACCTCTATATCATGTCCATCAGTTATATGCAGTAAAACCTCTATATCATGTCCCGCAGTAATATGCAATAAAACCTCTATATCATGTCCATCAGTTATATGCAGTAAAACCTCTATATCATGTCCCGCAGTAATATGCAATAAAACCTCTATATCATGTCCCGCAGTAATATGCAATAAAACCTCTATATCATGTCCCGCAGTAATATGCAATAAAACCTCTATATCATGTCCATCAGTTATATGCAATAAAACCTCTATATCATGTCCCGCAGTAATATGCAATAAAACCTCTATATCATGTCCATCAGTTATATGCAATAAAACCTCTATATCATGTCCATCAGTTATATGCAATAAAACCTCTATATCATGTCCATCAGTTATATGCAGGAAAACCTCTATATCATGTCCATCAGTTATATGCAATAAAACCTCTATATCATGTCCATCAGTAATATCCAGTAAAACCTCTATATCATGTCCATCAGTTATATGCAATAAAACCTCTATATCATGTCCATCAGTAATATCCAGTAAAACCTCTATATCATGTCCATCAGTTATATGCAATAAAACCTCTATATCATGTCCCGCAGTAATATGCAATAAAACCTCTATATCATGTCCCGCAGTAATATGCAATAAAACCTCTATATCATGTCCCGCAGTAATATGCAATAAAACCTCTATATCATGTCCATCAGTTATATGCAATAAAACCTCTATATCATGTCCATCAGTTATATGCAGGAAAACCTCTATATCATGTCCATCAGTTATATGCAGTAAAACCTCTATATCATGTCCATCAGTAATATGCAATAAAACCTCTATATCATGTCCATCAGTTATATGCAGGAAAACCTCTATATCATGTCCATCAGTTATATGCAGGAAAACCTCTATATATCATGTCCTATATCATGTCCAGTTATATAATATGCAATAAAACCTCTATATCATGTCCATCAGTTATATGCAATAAAACCTCTATATCATGTCCATCAGTTATATGCAATAAAACCTCTATATCATGTCCTATATCATGTCCATCAGTATATGCAATAAAACCTCTATATCAGGACCCGCAGTAATATGCAATAAAACCTCTATATCATGTCCATCAGTTATATGCAGTAAAACCTCTATATCATGTCCATCAGTTATATGCAGTAAAACCTCTATATCATGTCCATCAGTTATATGCAGTAAAACCTCTATATCATGTCCATCAGTTATATGCAATAAAACCTCTATATCATGTCAGTAATATGCAGTATATATGCAGTTATAATAAAACCTCTATATCATGTCCATCAGTTATATATAAAACCTCTATATCATGTCCATCAGTTATATGCAGTAAAACCTCTATATCATGTCCATCAGTTATATGCAGGAAAACCTCTATATCATGTCCCGCAGTAATATGCAATAAAACCTCTATATCATGTCCATCAGTTATATGCAGGAAAACCTCTATATCATGTCCATCAGTTATATGCAGTAAAACCTCTATATCATGTCCCGCAGTAATATGCAATAAAACCTCTATATCATGTCCATCAGTTATATGCAGTAAAACCTCTATATCATGTCCCGCAGTAATATGCAATAAAACCTCTATATCATGTCCTGCAGTAATATGCAGTAAAACCTCTATATAATGCTCCTCATTTGTCTGCAGTAAAACCTTGATATAATGCTCAGCAGTTATATGCAGTAAAACCTCGGTATTATGTCTTCGGCTTATATACAATAAGCCCTCGGAGTAATATCCTTGGTTGATATACAGCAAAACCTCGGTGTAATGTCCATTTTTATGTACAGTAAAACCTCGATGTATTGTCCATTTTCATATACAGTTAAACGTCAGTGTTATCTCCTTGGTTTATATACAGTAAAACCTAGGTGTAATATCCTTGCTTGATATACAGTAAAACCTCGGTGTAATATCCTTGGTTAATATACTTTAAATCATCGGTGTAATATCCTTTGTATATATACAGTAAAACCTAGGTGTAATATCCTTGGTTTATATACTTTAAATCCTCGGTGTAATATCCTTGCTTGATATACAGTAAAACCTCGGTGTAATATCCTTGGTTAATATACTTTAAATCCTCGGTGTAATATCCTTTGTATATATACAGTAAAACTTCGGTGTCATATCCTTGGTTTATATACAGTAAAACCTCGGTGTAATTTCCTTGGTTGATATACAGTAAAACCTCGGTGTAATATCCTTGGTTTATATACTTTAAATCCTCGGTGTAATATCCTTGCTTGATATACAGTAAAACCTCGGTGTAATATCCTTGGTTAATATACTTTAAATCCTTGGTGTAATATCCTTGGTTTCTATACAGTAAAACCTCGGTGTAATGTCCATTT